GTGATGAAATGGTTCTGATTGCTTACCACCTGCTTAAAATTAGCATAGGTGCTTACATAGAATGGTTAGTTAATAAACTAATGATGATTGCTAATAAAATTGATTATAATGACACACATTTAGTAATGCTTCCACCGATGCAATAACCCACAAGCCAAATAAGTCTTGCATATCCTTGGAGTCTTTTGTTTTCCTCCTATCGGGTAAGTCTTGGTGAGTACAATCGAGTACTCAGAGTTTTATTCCCCCTGTTGCAGGTGATCGAAGGATATATAGAGCTGACCCTTGTGTGTGCAAACCTCCTGTGGGCTCAGAGAGGATTCCTTTCACGCTATGATCGTAGTGTTTATTTATAACCCTCACTAAAGGGTTTTATAAGAAAAGATATAAAATTTGCCAGCATCTCTTGTATATAAATGTCCACTATGTTAATACTTCACCAGGTTATTAAATGAATCTTTGCTTCCTCTGTAACTCTAATTACATTGTTATATTCCACTGTTATAATCAATTGAGGTAACATCCTGCTAATGTAATACAGTGATGTAAGAAATGGCTTAAGAATATTATAAGCTTTATTCTCTCATTTATGATCCTGATGGAAAAATGTGGATTTTTGAGTTCTCCCTTGGGGTGTGCTCGATGGAACTACGTAGTTTAGTGTCCTCTCTTGAGTACTTAGTGTCTAATTGAAGACAAGTACTCATGTGAGGCATTAGATTACTCGGTTCTGCCACAATGACCACCATCCAAAGAACAACAATGCTCAAGTTGAGAAGGATCAGTGTAAATGGTGCAAGAAGCATGGACATTACTAGAGAGATTGTCCAGACTTACTAAATAGCCTTCTGAAGAGAGGTGAGGATTTCATTACATTCATAGATGAATCCTTGTTTTAAGTTATGCAAAATCTACTTGGTGGATTGATTTTGGTGTAACTATTTATGTTGCAAATTCATTACAGGGATTCTGTACGAAGAGGACCCTGCAAAGAGGAGAAAGAAGAATTAAAGTTGCAAATGGAGTTGAAGCTAAAGTTGAGGCCATTGGAGATCTCTCTCTAGAATTAGACGATGGTTCTATACTTTAGCTTTCAGATATCATTTATGTACCCTCTTTGCGTAGAAACTTGATAAGTGTTTCACGATTAGATGATGATGGTTATGATTGCCATTTTGGTAATGACAAATGTTGGATTGTGATTAATAATAAGTGTGTTGGTCTTGCCTTCCGACAAGACAAGCTTTATTTATTATCACTTTCTGAGAATGTGAATGCTGTGAGCATTGAGAATGAGAATGCATCCTCATCTATGAATGCAACAAATAAGCGGAAGAGGGTTCAAGATGTATCATCAAAATTATGGCACTATCATTTAGGCCATATTTCGAGGGGGAGAATAGAGCGATTGATTAAGAAATCAATTCTTCCGCCTTTAGAATTTTTAGATTTAGAACAATGCATTGATTGCATAAAAGGAAAATACGTTAAGAAAATAAAGAAAGATGCCAAATGAAGCGCAGGAATTTTAGAAACAATTCACACAGATATTTGTGGTCCTTTTCCTATGAAAAGTGTGGATGGTTATGATTCATTTATAACATTCACAGATGATTATTCTCGTTTTGGCTATATTTATCCAATTAAGGAAAGATCAAAAGCATTGGATAAATTTAAGATATTTAAGGTTGAAGTAGAAAATCAGCACAACTTAAAGATTAAGGTAGTAAGATCCGACCGTGGGGGAGAGTACTACTGTCGACACCCCCCATATGGCCAAGTTCATGGACCCTTTGTAAGGTTCTTACAGGAAAATAGCATAGGTGCCCAATATTCTACACCGGACGAGCCTCAGCAGAATGGAGTAGCTGAAAGACGCAATCGTACCTTAATGGATATGGTGAGAAGCATGATAAGTTACTCTACTCTACCGAATCATTTATGTATGGAGGCGTTAAAACCCGCCATTCATATTCTTAGTCGAGAGCCAAGCAAGTCGGTGCCCAAAACACTGTATGAGTTGTGGACAGGAAAGGAACCCTCACTTAACTATTTACGTGTGTGGGGTTGTCCAGCTGAGGCTAAAGTCTTTAACCCAAACATAGGGAAGCTAGACTCCAAGACAGTTAGTTGCCATTTCATTGGCTATCCAGAAAAGTCAAAAGGTTCTCGCTTCTATTGTCCTGACAGACAAACAAAGTTTATAGAAACAAGACATGTTGTGTTCTTGGAGGATGATATGATCGGGGGGCATGGTAGCGTGAGAAATTAATTTTTAAGAGAAGCAGGTATACGTGTCCACTCCGATGGTTCAAGAACCATTCTTCACGCTACCTGTTGTTGCTGTTCCAACAGTGTAAGACACTGTAGTAACAGCACAAGTTGTTAGTTCTCCTATGACAACAATGAATGAATATAAGGAACCTGTCTTTCAGGATCCCTTAGAACCCATTGTCACACACGAGGAAGAGCAACAACAGCCTCATATAGAACAAGCGTCATCTAACGAGGCCCCTAGAAGGTCTTAAAGAGTTAGGAGATCAGCCATTCTTGATGACTATGAAGTTTATGAATGTGAGAAATTTTAAATAGAGGATGATCCCACCTCATTTGAAGAAGTCATGAGAAACGCTCACTCATCAAAGTGGCTTGAAGCCATGGAAGATGAAATAAAATCAATGAAAACCAACGGTGTTTGGGACTTAGAAACAATTTCTAAAGGAGCCAAGACAGTAGGCTGTAAATGGATATACAAAACTAAACATGACTCTGAAGGGAATATAGAAAGGTTTAAAGCGTGACTTGTGGCGAAAGATTTCACGCAAAGAGAAGGCATAGATTACAATGAGATATTTTCTCCAGTCTCATGTAAAGATTCTTTTAGAATCATAATGGCGCTTGTAGCACATTACGACTTAGAATTACATCAGATTGATATAAAGACGGCGTTCTTAAATGGAGACTTGGAGGAAAATGTTTACATGGCACAACCGAAAGGTTTTGTTATAGAAGGAAAAGAACGTATGAGATGCCGCCTAAAGAAATCCATTTACGGATTAAAACAAGCTTCAAGACAGTGGTATTTGAAGTTTGATAGTACAATAAGAAAGTTTGGGTTTCAAAAAAATGTAGAGGACAATTGCGTTTACGCAAAATTCAAAAAAAGGAAATACATTTTCCTAGTCTTTTATGTGGATGACATCTTGCTCGCTAGCAGTGATGTTAATCTACTACTACAAACAAAGAAGTTCTTGTCCTCGAAGTTTGATATGAAGAATCTCGATGAAACTTCATTCGTTTTAGGAATAGAGATTCACCGAGATAGAGAAAATGGGGTTTGAGGATTATCACAAAAGGCATACTTAGAAAAAGTTCTAAAGAAATACAGTATGCAAAATTGTAAGCCTTCACCTGCTCCCATAGTCAAGGGCGATAGATATGGGAAATTTCAATGTCCTAGGAACCAATTTGAGATCGATCAAATGAAAGCGGTTCCATATGCTTCAGCTGTCGGAAGTTTATAGTATGCTCAAGTGTGTACTCGCCCTGACTTCGTATTTGTTACCGGGTTACTTGGCAAATATCAGAGTAATCCAGGAATAGAACACCGGAAATTAGTAAAGAAAGTTTTGCGTTACCTGCAAGGTACAAAGGATTTCATGCTAACGTACAGAAAATCTGATTCCCTACATATAGAGAGGTATACAGATTTAGATTATGCGGGAGATGATAGAAAGTCCACGTCAGGGTACATATTCACTCTCGCAGGATGAGCTATATCATGGAAAAGCTCAAAGCAAACCGTCACTACATCGTCTACGATGTATGTCGAGTTTGTAACATGCTATAAGGCCACAGGGAAGGTGAATTGGCTTAAGAAATTCATGCCCAGGTAAAAAGTGGTAGACGACATACATAAGCCACTTAAGTTATACTGCGATAATAATCTAGCAGTATGTTATGCTTACAACAATAAGTCAAGTGGTGCTACCAAACACATTGACATAAAGTATTATGTTGTTAAAGATAAAGTCCGGGATCATATAATTAGTCTTGACCATATAAGAACAGAAAAGATGCTTGCGGATCCGCTTACAAAATTCTTACCACCCAATGTGTTCAGAGAACACTTAGTCGACATGTGTTTAAGGGACAGTCCTATGATTCCTGGACAATAAGGGTCTAGTTGAGAATCTGTTTCAAAACAGAGATGTGCATTGTAGCTGTTTAATCTAATGGCAACGGACCGTGACGACGAGGCAATACTCTATGCACTGATCTGTGATGGAATATAAACAAGATAAAGTAAGTAAATTAAGTTTAAGTCATAAGATGAGATCAAGGAGAGAATGTTAGATTGATCCCACCAGTTGGCCCAACGCCAATTGGACCTTAATCCGCGCCCTGATCGGGGGCGCCCAACCCTAACTATGGTTGATGGGCCCTCGTCGCACAGCGCCATAAAAAGGGATGTAGGAGCTGAGGCACAAGGCACGAGGTTCACCTGCACCGCCAGAAACCCCACCTAACCCTGGTGATCTAGAGAAGGGGCGCTACCAGCGACGGGAAGTACTGCCACCGGCTTCAACGCCGCCTCTGCACCGCCGCCTCTGTGACAGCGCCTCCGCCGCGCCGTTCGACACCGCCGCCGGGACACTGCACCGACGGCATGGCTTCCTCCTCTTTTTCTAAGCCCGACGGTTTGCATCTCCGAACCTCTCTCCCTCTATCTCTAAATCCCGTACTAGTTCATATTCTAAGGCTTGCTATTTATCCCAAATGTCAGTATATATGCTAGATGTATGGAATCCTGTAATTTCTATCACCTTCCTCTTCGCATGCAATGCAACTGACTCGTTCACAGTCTCTCTCGACCAACCAGACTCATCACTCAACAAACCTCCCGCTCCAGACTCATCACTCAACAAACCTCCCGCTCCCTGCTGCCCCATCGGTAGATCGAGACTTCCCGTCGATCGACCGCCTCGCTGCCGGCCGCCATGATCTCGTGGCACGACCTGTACACGGTGCTGTGCGCGGTGGTGCCACTGTACGTGGCGATGGTCCTGGCGTACGGCTCCGTGCGGTGGTGGGGCTTGCTGACGCCGGACCAGTGCTCCGGCATCAACCGCTTCGTGGCCGTCTTCGCCGTGCCGCTCCTCTCCTTCCACTGCATCTCCACCAGCGACCCCTACGTGATGAACCTCCGCTTCATCGCCGCTGACACGCTGCAGAAGGTCCTCGTCCTCGGCGCGCTCGCCGTCTGGTCGTTCCTCCCGACCGCGCGCGGCGGCGGGACGAAACGCGAGCCGTTCGACTGGTCCATCACGTTCTTCTCCCTGGCCACGCTGCCCAACACGCTCATCATGGGGATCCCGCTCCTCGTCGCCATGTACGGGCAGTACTCGGATGACCTCCTGGTGCAGGTGGTGGTGCTTCAGTGCATCGTGTGGTACACCCTCCTGCTCGTCCTCTTCGAGTTCCGCGCCGCGCGGGTGCTCATCGCGGGGCAGTTCCCGGCCGGCACCGCGGCGGCGTGCATCGCCGACGTGCGCGTGGACCCGGACGTGGTGTCGCTGGCCGGCAGCCAGGCGGAGGCGCAGGCGGAGGTGGCGCCCGACGGCAGGATGCGCCTCGTCGTGCGCCGGTCCACGTCGGCGTCAAGGCGGTCGCTGGCGGCAGGCGCCGCCGCGACGCCGCGGCCGTCCAACCTGACGGGCGTGGAGATCTACTCGGTGAGCTCGTCGCGGAACGCCACCCCGAGGGGGTCCAGCGGCATCGCGCACGCCGACATCGGCTGGGCCGCCGCCGCCGCCGCGCCACCGCACGGCGCGTCGTCGCTGCGCAAGTCGAGCTTTGGCGCGGCGGACCTCTTCTCCCTGCACCCGACGCCGCAGCCGTCCAGCTTCGACGAGCAAGGGGTGTGGGCGAGATCGGCTGCCACGGTGGCGCCCAGCAACGACCCCAGGGACGTGCACTTGATCGAGTGGAGCTCCGGCGCGTCCGCGACGTCGGAGGTGCGCGGCTTGCCGGTGTTCCACGGCGGCGACCTCCACCGCGGCATGGACTCCCGCCGGCTGGTGCCCCTGAGACGCATCCGAGAGGTCAGTCACTGGCGATGACCAATTGAAGCCGATCGATACGTAGATAAACGTGCAAGCACTGATGGTCATCAGCGCATGCACGCACGTACGCGGGTTTTTTTTTGTGTGTGTTTCAGCGATGCGGCCGGGGGAGCGCGTCGTCACGGGCTTCCCGGCGGACGCCGGGCAGGACGCGCTGGCGAAGCTGGAGTCCGGGTCGACGGAGGAGGAGCGGAAGGACGCCAAGGACGGCGGCGGAGCGGGAGGGCAGCAAGCGGCGGCATCGGCCGGCGTGATGATGCGGCTGATCGTCACGATGGTGTGGCGGCGGCTGATCCGCAACCCCAACACGTACGCCAGCGTTGTCGGCCTCACTTGGTCTCTCATCTCGTTCCGGTAATTCATCAAGTTCTTGGTCGCGATGCTAGTATATATATTTGCGTTTTCTGCATCATCAGAATTTGATTTCAGAACAAATAAAAAACACCTTGTATAGCATTATCGTGTCGGATCTGTTCCTGCAGATTCCACGTCGCAATGCCAGCCTTAGTGAAGAACTCCATCAGCATACTCTCCGATGCAGGGCTAGGGATGGCCATGTTTAGCTTAGGTACGGTGTGTTTCTCACCTCCATGTCTTCCCAACCAGTAACACACACATGTTGGTGGCTATCATATCCTGCAATAATTCTTTTGCTGCCTGCCCAGGGCTCTTCATGGCCGTGCAGCCCAAGATCATCGCCTGCGGAAACAAGGTCGCGGCCGTCACCATGGCAATTCGCTTCCTCTTCGGCCCCGCCGTCATGGCCGCCACGTCCGCTGCCGTCGGCCTCCGAGGCACGCTCCTGCGCGTCGCCATTGTTCAGGTAACTATATTTCTGTGTTATAAGGCATTTGGTTTGCATACACGTTGTGACAGTCAAAATAGTTGCTGATTTTGTACCCACATATGTTGGTAGGCCGCTCTGCCGCAAGGAATTGTGCCCTTTGTGTTCGCCAAGGAGTACAATCTGCACGCCGCCGTTCTTTGCACCGGGTAAGCCAACAACTAGCCCCCTTCGTTCTGTTGTTCTGCAGGGTTGTCATCAGTGAGCTGTGCTTCAAGTGTAGTATAAGCGTAGTTGTGATTCATTCATATGTTTCCATTCTTTTTTCAGGGTCATATTTGGCATGCTAATCGCTCTTCCCATCGCCTTGGTCTACTATATCATTCTCGGACTACTGTGAATGGTGTCCAAGCAACAACGACCGTGCCAAAGGTCAAAGCCAGCTGACATGTTGCGAACGCGCCTCGGCGCGCGGCTGTTCCCAGCAGAGCCCACTTCTCTCTCTCTCTCTCTCTCTCTCTCTCTCTCTCTCTCTCTCCCTCCCGGCGCTTGTGTCTAGTTGGAGCGAGTCGCTCGAGTACTTGCAGTTTTCGCCTTTTTTTCTTCTTCCTTTTTCTTTTAATTTTTGTATACTAACACATTTTTTCTTCTATATGTACTACGAATATACCATTTAGGTTTAGAAGTTTGTCCAGAACAAATTATGTAAAAAAGTATAGTTAGACAAAAAAAAACTTATGTGTACAAGTTAGTTATTCGTAAAATTATTACATAAAAAATATGCCAGAAAAATTATGTTGACAAATTATTATGGTAGGTTTGTCTGCCAACAGTTATGAATAAAGATTAGGTTAGTTATAAAGGTATTTTAGAAAAGTTGCCATAATAAGTTAAAAATGTTACGATAAAAAATATGGTGATAACTTTTGTTCCATAATGTTTACACAAAAGTTACAAGTTTAATTTTATAGCTTTCTACAAAATTATGGTGATAAATTTTGTTCGGCAAAATGTTATATACCTTCACCCATTTTAAATCGTAATATGTTATGACTTTTTAATCACATAGCTTTTGTTATGTAATAGGTTCGTGTCCGTGCGTTACTATGGGATAACTAAACTTTTGTACTAAAAACACACGATCACATAATAAGATAACAATACTGTAAAATTAAATACCGACGTTAAAGTGACATTTAATCGAAAAAACAAAGTTCATGAAATTAACACAGTCACGGAGAGCGCGGTGTCGCATGCTCACAAACTCTACTGTACATACCTTTCGTAACGTGGCTAAGATAATGTTTTATTGGCCGGAAGAAATCTCCGATATCTATTTTTTTCGTGCGTCAATAAATCCATGAATAAAAGTTCCATCACATCTCCACACCAGGTTCGAGTATATATATAAATATTATTGCATGTCACATGAGTAATACTACATGTCTTGAAAAATCTCTCACAAAACCTTCAAACAAAGTATGATATACACACCGTATAAATATATGGCTTTAGGTCTATTCCACACAGAGACATATACTATAGAATAAGGTATCCAGTTGAGTATATGTGACAAGATTCACCATGAACAATATATAGAAATAGTTAAATCATATATATTATTATTGCAAGCAGCGGTGACTTTGAGTTAGTTACCCATCTATATCATCTGCAATGTTTAATTTGCTTGAATTCATGATTAATTAAAAGTAACATCAGACGTTTTATTTGCTTGTCACATATGAAACTGATACTTATGTACAGCAAAATTACAAGGCAACATCCGGCTGGCTGCTGCAGCCTGCAGCAACTGCTGCGGTTCTGTTTGAATTGCTCTCTAATGTTTCATTTGTGGCTGGCTGGTGCCCTGCAGCTCTGCAGCAAGCTCATCCAAACACACCGAATAAGTACATAAACAAATATGCCTTACTGCAGCTCAGCAGCAAAAGCTCATCCAAACACACCGAATAAGTACATAAACAAATATGCCTTACTCTAGTATCGAGATGAAAATTCAAAAGTGTAACAACAATCTTTTACTTGAGTCTTCATATATATGCCGGGAGGTAAATGAAATTGGTCAGCCATGATGTATCTGATATGAAACCTATCATCCTACGAAATTTAGAGCATTGTAAATAATTGTCACATCCAATATTTTAGGATAATGGCCTTGTAGTATATTTGTCATCATCTTTATCACTCGCACTCACATATTACCTAATTTGAAACTAGCAAAATCAATGAGACAAAACATCTGATCCTGACCATGTGGCAGATTTTGAGCGCAAAAAAAAAAAGACCATGTGGCAGATTTAGGGTTGCAATGTTGCATTCTCCGTATTGTACACCAAGTACTTGACTTTCCCATTGGCATTCTTGGCATTCTGGAAAAGAAAATAACAACTCAGAATGACTGAATTAGATAGCACATATTTATATGCATATAGAAAATGTGCATGCATTCGATAGTGAAAAGGGTAAAAACAAAAAGGTGTCATGAGGAACTCCCCACGTTCATGTATAGAAAAATAAAAGATAGGTGAAAAAAGGGGAGAGAAGAGCATTATCAAACCTGGCATCCAGATCTCATGACAAGGATAATCCGGCCAGTCTTGTCAAAGTAATCGGTTCGATTAATTTTTCCAGCACCGCTTCATCAAATATGTCATCCTACATAATGAAATTTAAATAAGATTTTCTACCAGATAATAATCCATCAAATCAGATGTCACAATGCACCAAATATGTCATCCTACATAATGAAATTCAAATAAGTTTTTCTACCAGATAATAATCCATCAAATCATATGTCACAATGCACAGAATGTTTCTCAAAGCATGCTAAAAAGCTCCGCGGTGACATAAGCCTAATCGTGTGTTGCATTGTCACATCCATCAAAGCAATATAGCTTAGAAAAAAAACACCCAACGGATTTCATCCGGCTTATATTTTGAACGCCATTTTTCTTTAAGGTTTTCTTTAGCATTCTTGTAGCCTTCTTTACATTACTTTGCAATTGAAGCAACTTAGCAACATAGAGCTGATTTTCTGGATAGTTTTCCTGGGTCAGTTCTAACTTTACCAATCTGACATGAAAGAAAAAGAAAAAAAACATGCATCCCACACTGATGAACCATCGAATCAGTCAACTTTGTAAAGCTTATAATTATTGATGCAGATGTTTTACTACCTAGTAGGCTTTGGTTTTACCTATCCATGCATAGATAATTTGAAAGAGAAAAGAAAATATGAAATACCTGATAAAAAATAAGGATAGTCGTGAGAAACATTCCTCCAATTACCAATGAAATAAATTAGAGATGAAATCTGAATTTACTTTCCCATCATAGTAGAAAGTGTCATTAACTCCACTAGAGTTGGTCCCTGAAACTTGAATAGAGAAACCAACAAGACGGCATAACTCTATGTTGTTAGAGGCCCGTTTTCTATCTGCTTTGCCACAAGGAGATAATAAAGACCTGACATAGCAGTAAGGAGCATATATAAAATAACGACAGCTTCAAGTGTGGATAATCCTAAGCCACAAGGAGATAATAAGACCTGACATAGCAGTAAGGACCACATATAAAATACTGACGGCTTCAAGTGTGGACAATGTTTGTTTCGATTTTCACTTGGTGGACCCCCGAAAACTGAATCACAGAACTAAACATGTCCATGATATTGTTCATCAATGATGCTGACTATTAGATGCTTTGTAGTTCTTATAGCTGCCACATGATTTGACTCGCTTTTTCAATATTGCAAACAATTATTATTGCTATATTCAGTCAAGAATAGATGATGTTCAGTCAAGCAAATATGCAACTACTGTTTGATACTAAGTTAGTGAGTTCAGAGCGCTCACAACAAAATGCAGAGAAAGGGAGCACCCACCTTTGATCAGGTTGAGGTCGCATGGCACGATGCACTCGTCGTGCCGGTGTCGTCCTACGTCCTACTCGGTCTCGGCGAGGAGCTGCAGGCGTGGCCGCTGTAGTGGAAGAAGCGCGCATCCCTGGGCCACGCCCGCGCCTCCACCACGAGCCACTCAAGTTCCAGCCAGATGTTTCTCCACTTATGCAACCAGATAATTCACCTCCATGTAGTGTAACAATAGACATATGACTTGAACACAAATCCATATACCAGTTCTGTTCAAAGAATGCAGTGCAAAAATTTATAGCAACTCTCTTACAAAAATTACTACATAAACAATATTCTAGATAGTAGAAATTGAGAGTAATAGGACTCTTATGTGGATAGAAATTGAGAAGCAAGACCAACCAAAGAAGATGGCAAAAATTATTGTATCCCTTAAATAGGTCACAAGCTGCAAGGACCTAACATGAACTTAAAATATGTCGAGCACCCCATGTCCAATGTAAAATCAGGCCAACTTCATCTCAACACTTTTTGCTCATAACCATGCATAAAAACATTTGAACTCAAGCTAACAGAGTATAAAAAGGGAAAGACAGAAGGTACTATGTATGCAGGTCAATTTTTTTAATGTCAGCTTACTTCTTGCCAAGAAGTTGCCCCATCCTAGCTTCCAGGTGGCAACACTTGTGCAGTGTCAGGCCATGGCACTTTGAGCTCCCCTTCGTGAACCCTGTGCTTTGGCTCCGGAGTATGTGCACGAACTCCTCCTTGGTGCAATTCCTCATCCGGAAAGCACACCCATCAGTCCACCGCAAAACTATCTAATCATGGAGAAAGTGTAGACGCCACGTGATATTTTCATGTAACTATTAACTACTTCAAATCTAGGAGAAATGGAGAACATCTGTCCTTTATTTCCATGAGTTTGGTGACTGCGGATGAATCACATCTAGGAGAAATTAGCATTTATGAATCAATCGAAGTTAGGAAAATCAAAGAAGAACAAATCAAATACAGCCAGTAGATGATCCCCATTGCAATGCCACCGGACAACCATGCCTCCATGGCTCCACCTATAGTTTCAGAGAGAATCAGAAATTTATGGATCAATAAGATTAATGGGAAATATGAATTAACATCACAAAGATCAAAAAGAGAATCAAATCCAATTGAGTGGATCAGGGTATGACTGGATCTTGGATTTAGCCATCAACACCATTGCGTATCTACATGATGGAGCAAAAAAACTAATAACTGTGATGGAACAACTCCACATATTCACTACATCAGGCAGCACAACTGACAAAGGCAAGACGAACGCGTTCGTAACGTAGATTAATATACTGCCTAGTATATGAAGATCTCATCAATAATCGCTTTCAGTCTCCTTCCATGGAACACACATAAAAAAGGAAAAAAGGAAACTATTGGATTACAAATCAGAAGAAGGGGCTCAGGGAAGGGAGAGGGAAGAACCTGTAGGTGGTGAAGCACAAAGATCTAGTGAGGTCGCCGCCGCGCGACATGGGGCGGGCCGGCGGAAGCGACTCCGCGCGACCTGGCGAGGGCCGCCGCCACACGGCCTGGGACAGGGCTACGAGCGGGCTCCCATGCGCCTCTGCGTCTCCATGCGTCCTCGAGCGCCGCCGAACCTGCCGCCACGGGGCTGGCGCGGGCGCGGGCGGCGGCGGCGCGGTGAGCTGACGCAGACGACGGTGGCCGACGCGTATCTGGGTGGGTGGGTGGGGGGTGGGGGGATCGCATGGGGAGGCAGAGCTGCAACCCAAAAAAATTAGGGACAATTGTCCGGTGGAGATCCAAAGTGATGGTCTTTTACTGGCGGACACCCTGTTTTGAGCAGTTTGCCAGAAGACACTCTAGTTTGGTGAAATTAGACCATAGGACACCGCGGACCGGTTACAGTCGGTTGAGGAGAGAGAACGGCGGTGAAATGTCATTCTTGCCCCTGCCGCTTTCTTCTTCCTCTCTCCCTTGCTCTATTTTTTTTCCTGTTTCCTATCCCGCCACCACACTCTCTGCCTCCCGCACCATCCGTCGCGCATCACGCCGTCACGGGCGGCTGCGCCTCCGACGCCCGTGCCTCCGGTGGCCCGCTTCGGCGCCGCGCCCCAGCCTCGTGCCTCCGGCGGCCGCGCTCTGGCCTCGCGCCCTGCGTGCTAACAGCGGTGGACGTCCTGGCTGCGGTGTTCGTGGCGTCCGCCAACACCAAGTCGAAAGGGACAGCCGCCGCCGTCTATGACAAGGCGCTCAAGGTCATCTCCTCGCTGTAGGTCCCGGAGCAGTGCCTGCGTCGCGTCACGGAGACGAACGAGGTGCTCGCCTCCGTGCTACAGCGGTCGGCGCCGCCACGCCCGCGCGCGCGCGCTGCTCCTGGGCGCGCCACGGCCATATTTACCGCCCGGCAGCCGGGCGTCCCTCCCCAGTAGCGTGTGTTCGGTGAGGCCGTGGAGCTGCTCCGTGGTAGGCTGGCCGTCTCTAGTCCCGCGACAAGGCGCGGCGCAGACGTGCTTTCGCGCGCACGCGGCGTGTGGGGATGCAACCGCGTGTCAAAGCGGTGGACGCCGCGCGGTGCCCGTGCTTTCGTCGACAATGGGCGGAGCGCCGCCGTCGCGAAGTAGTCTCGCGGCGGCGCTGGACCGCTGCTTGGTGAGGGCGCGCGCGCGTGGTGGCGAGTTGGAGTAGTACGTTGCTGCTAATCTCGCCTCCCTCCCCCGCACGCTTAGAGGTCGGAGCTCACTGACCTCCATGGCCACGCTCCACCATGGCCGGCGACCTAGCGCGGCTCTGAGCCTGCGGTTGGAGACGGCCTTCGCTCGCCGTGGCTCTTCGCCCACGGCTCGTGAGCCCGCACGAACGGTCTGCTTCCCCTGCTCGTTCCCGCGGTCGGAGACGACATCCGCGCCATGGCCCGTGCGGCTTTGAGCCTACGGCTAGAGATGGCCTCCGCTCGTCATGGTCTCGCCCAGAAGCCCGCATGGCCGTGGCTGCGGCAGCTCGCCAGCTCGTCCGTGCGCCTGCGTGGCCGAGGCTGGTCGACTGTTGTGGCTGCTGCTCAGCAATGGAAGAAGAGAAGAGAAGAGGAGAAGAGGAGGAAGAAGAAGATGACAGGTGGGTGCCGCGCGTTAGTGAGAGGGAGAGGGGCGGACCCAACTGTGGCTCAGGGGCACCGGATGTCAAAACGAAATTTTTTCTGCAACCGGTCCACGGTGTCCTGTGGCCTAATTTCACCAAACCAGAGTGTCTTCTGGCAAATTGCTCAAAACGTGGTGTCCGCCAGCAAACGACCATCACTTTGGATGTCCGTCAAACAATTTTTCAAAAAGTTATCACACCATTCAATTGTCTTAGTTTTATTTTTTTAGTTATATTATATTGTAGGAGATCTAAACATAAGGTTTTTTTAAGATGCTTATAGAGGTAGGGTTAGCGTACGCGTGTTCATAGGGTGAATGTGCGTACGTGTTGAACTTCTGCGTCTGTACTTCGTGAATCCGTAAAAAAACTATATATTTAAAAAATCAGAATACTTTACAATTTGAAATGAATTACAAAATTTGTTACGGTAACTTTGCAACTTTTCATAAAAAGAAAAGTTACAAAAATTGCGGGTTGTAACGATGCTTGCCGTTGGTTCACAACTGATCGAACAACCGCCCTTGGAACCTGGCCAAGATCAATGAGTTCACTAGAAGAGCCAAGCGATTAGGTTCGTGGCAAATGACGCTGCAACGAAGTTTGGATGTGCTGTGGCACGAAGCCTGTCCAAACATGTGGTCTCTATATTCTTTTGGCGCAGTCCTCACAATGGATACCCGAAAGACTATTTGACATAAGTATTTCCATATGTGTTCACTATTTTCCGGCAGCGTAGCATGTTTTGTAACCACATTAACTAAACACTTTCTCAAATTCCCATACTTAACTAATTAATTATGTCAGATACTGGTACTGTGGTACACAATCATATCGTGGCACACCAAAAATGTTATTTTCATCCGTATTATTCCTAGCTGGATACTCACTCCGACAAAAAAAAAAATGCAATTCTAGCTCTATCATTAATCAGACCGAGATTATAGGAAAGTATCAATATTTACACCACAAAAAATGTACACCGTGCAATATATTTTATGACAAATATAATGACACCTATCGTAAATCATGTATATTTTTTTGTAGTTCTTTTTTGTCGAACTCAAAATGGGTTTGACCAAGATTTTAGAAGATACATATTTTTCTTTAATTAGGAAAATATCCTCAATTATCAGTGCATAACGTGAAGGGTGGGTCTGGTGCAAGCGGTAGAGTCCTACCGCCTGTGACCGGAAGGTCCCGGGTTGAGTCACGGTCTCCTCGCATTGCACAGACGAGGGTAAGGCTTGCCACTAAACACCCTTCACTAGACCCCGCACAGAGTAGGAACTCTCTACACTGGGTAAGTCTTTTTTTTTATCGGTGCATAACGTGGCCCTTGCCGACATGGACATGGTCTTTTTTTTTCTAGAGTCGAATTGCATGTCGGAGGAGTTTACTGTACATCAGAGCTGAGCAATTGGCATGTTGTCTGGCGGCCGCTGTAGGAGGCGGGCCAGCTACGTCTGTGAGCCTGTGACCCTTCCAACACAACGTCATTTAGGTGTTTCCAGTGTTCCCAGCAGCATGGCATGATGCAGCCGTCGCCGTGTTACGGGTGGAATCACTACAGTCTTGGCAGCTCCCAGAGCAAAGCTGCATCCAAACAAGACGTGGAACAGCGTTCGCAGCAACGGTATGCTTCGTGAATAGGTCTGGATCTGTTCTTGGACGAGCAGCCATGCGAAGAACTTGGGCGGGCACGTGCTGGCGCTTGACTCCCCAAGGCAAAATCCGTGGTACAAGTACCAGCAGTTCGGCATTGTTTGCTCGCGCCCAAGAGCTGCCCAGCCTAGTAGTAGCCTGTATAACTTGGATGTTTGTGATGAGCTTGCCACCGATGCCGATCAGTGGCCTTACTTGTCTGTCGTCTTCTTCCACCAGGCGCACGACGGCAATGGCTGACCGCACCACCATTTCGTCTTCTTTCGGGTAGTCTAGGCCTGCGCCCTGCGGTGACCACGTCGCAAGTCGCAACCGACACGGTGCTCTTTGTTTACTTAGCATGCAGATTCTTTCCGTTGCCGAAAAAAAATGATCATCGCCTGCTTGCTTGACGCTCTCTCAAAAACCAATGGCTCCCATCCAAAGTGTGAAACTGCAGATAGAACCATCTTACAGCCACCCATCAGTCTCCAGGATCACACCCTAAGAAAGATACACACGCAAGAACAAGAGAACACCCGCCTTACAGCGCGATTTTATCGACAAAACCAAAAGGCTCAAAACAAATCATATGTGTGCGCTTATTGTTCTTCACCACCAACACAAATAGCTAAATACAGGCATCCTTTGCAAGACCACACGCATTGCTAATAATGCTCCGTAGATCACAGTTTTACGCAAAATGCTCTTTCAAGTTCAGACCTTGTACACGGCGCAGGCCTTCTTGGAGAACCTGACAGGCTTGGTCTTCTTGGCGTCAACCACGACGGGGCACGTCACGTGCACCTTGTGCGTCACCCGCACGAGCTTGCCGATCACGTAGCCCCGGGAGGTCAGGTAGAAGTCCAGCGTCAGGGGCACCGTCCCGCCCGTGCTCGTCGACAGCATCAGGCTGCCGCCGGCGCCGTACAGCGGCACCTTCTCGCCGTGGATGACCGCCGTCACCATCCGGTGGCTCTTCCTCGGTTGGTAGTACTTGCGAACCTGCGTGATCAATCACAGGTAGCCATGTCAGGTTCAATGGCTATCATGGAAGTTAGCGGCACTTCTGATTTTTGACTCACAATTAGAAGGGGGACGCAAATTAATGCAGATAGATGACGAGAAATGAAGGAAGGATTCAGGCAACAATGCATGCTGATTTGCTGGCCCAGTTGTACTGTCTTGTTCTGAAGCATCCCTAGTGTTTATTGTCTTAATCTGAATTTTTGTCCCCACATTTACTAATTTCCCTTTGACCATGCATTTTGCACGATTGACTCGACAAAAAACTATGCATCGTTAGTCAGATCTTTGATGCGATGGTTGGGACAAATGTGGAATTATGGTTACAAACCTGAGCACGTGAGAAATGTTTCACTAATGCAGTTTCTCTTAAATGGTGAAGTGAAATAGAGACGTAAAAGATTCAGTTACTCATGCATTTTACTTTCAGCAAGAAATAGCGCAATATCATCAATCAATGTATGGACAACACTTAAATGCGGTTATAAATAGCCCAAGGTCGGAGGATGGACATACCTGACCGACTGCTATTGAGATCTGTGAATAGATCAGATGGATGGGGCCAGAAGTGACATGAATTCCAAACATTGTGGCAGGGTTGTACACAGATATGTGCAGAGAACAGTTTGTTGTGACCAATTTGGTTGGAACACCGCTGTGGTCTGTGCCTTCACCAGCATAGAAGTCGTCCATCACCAAGCTCTGCACAACACAGAAGTGAAAGAAGTTCGTGGTTTAGGACAGATCTGTGGTAAACACCGTGCTCATATCTACGCAAAGGAAGTTTTGCCATGACCGATAGTGCAAATCATAAATGCATATTGATTATTGAAGTGATTTTGTTTTCTTGTAAAGTAAAATATGGTTAGGAAATATAGGCCCAAAAGTCAGCATGCTAAATGCAGTGCCAGCCAGCAACATCCCCATCAGATTTAACGAGACTAATCTAGTACTACTTGGTATTTTGACCTTTCTTCAGTCTTCAGTGCAGTCTATTGTTTAAGACCTGAGTGAGGTATCAGATTCTCATTTCTGATTCTACAGAAATAAAACAAATATTGGTTTCTTTTTCATTAGAAATGGGAAGTGTTAGCACAAATTAACCAGTTTGTTATTCAGTATAAAAAGCATCAATTGAACTTCTATAGTTCGAAGTCTTCAGCCAATGTATACTCTAACCAGAGCTTAGTGGCTATGGCAAACTTAGGCCCCCAATTTACCATTTACTTGTAACCAATATGTGAGCAATAAAACCAAAATCACCCAGCTTGCAATTGTAAACTCCCAATCTGCATTCCTGTCTTATTCCTCATTAATTCCCAACATATCACTGTCTAACTGAACCACCTATCGCTGGAACCGTGAGACATCAGTCTATTTTAGTAAGTAGCAGTCAATTACTCGATTCAGGGATTGGATAGGAAATAAACAAACAAAGGAGAACGAGTATCCCATATACTGAAGAAAAAGTGAATTGAGCTTGCTACCGATGCTCCAAGCTTGGATGGATGTGTAATTGACTAATTGTGTATACCTTGACGATGACCTCGGGCTCGTACGGCCGGGCGGCGCCCCAGATGATGAGGCAGAAGGTGGTGAAGAGGAGGACGAAGGTGAGGAACCCGAGTATGATCTGGCATCGGCGGGAGAGCCCGCTGTCCCCTGCGAGGTCCTCGTACGGGCCTTCCTCCTCGATGACGTTGCACTCGGGCCACCCCTTGTCGTTGAGCACCTTGCGGTCCCCGCCGGCCTTGCGGAGGCTGCCGGAGAAGCGGCTGACGGAGGAGGAGCGGGAGTGGCGGCCGTAGGAGGGGTGCGACGGCGACTCGTTGGGGCTGTTGTAGACCGGCGTCGCCTGCATCGACGACGACTTGTACCCGCCGTCGTGCGACTCCCGCGACGGGCTCTGCACGTAGTAGCCGCCGTTGCCCGCGGCGGCGGCGGCGCCGCCGCCCCGCTTCGGCGACCGCGGCGGCGACGACTCCGCCAGGCTCGTCATGTCCGACTCCGACTTGGCGTGCATCATCTCCGCTCGCTCCCACAGTTCCCCTCCTGGCGAAACCAAAACCAATAGAAGCACACGATCAGAAGCAGAACAACAGCACCGGCACACGCGGTTTTGGCAGGGTTTTCCGATCCAAACACGCCACCACCACGCCAACCAGCTCAGAAATGGAAGGCCTCCGGCGATCTACACGCACCTGCGCGAAGCGGGTGGACGAGCTAGCGAGTGGGGGAGGGGCAGGGGAGGTGGAGCAGAGCACGCGCCTCCTCTCTCCTCTGGGCCTGGCTGGGCACCTCACCGGCAGCACTAAAAGAGGCGGAGGGGGAGAGCGAGAGCGAGCAGTGCCAGTAACGCACGGAAAGGCCAGGGGCAACCTCCCGACGCGGTGTGGCGCGCGCTCGTGGTCCAGTAGAGAGCGAACGCGTGGCGGGGGGAGGCGCGCCGGGGTTGGCGCTCGGTGCCTCGGTGGTGGGAGGCGGAGCAGGGGATCGGGCTAGGCGGCCGCGGGGGTGCGTGGGCGACTGGAGTGTCGGCAGCGACCGGGGAGGGAATGTGTGTGTGGCGCAGGGGATTATGCTTTCTGTATTCCACGCCCATGTCTTCTTCTTGGAGCTTGAAATCAAATGCACGAATTTTGTACGAATGAAGCAATAAATTTGGGATAAATTTGTGCATGTTCTTGAATCTTGATGTCTTTGCTGGCACATTATATTGGATGGCTTGTTTTGCGCACTTGCACTCAACGGCTCGTGTCGTACACTCGTACTAGGTTAGGGTACTAATGCCAGTGCCGAGCCGAGAACGGTTGTCCTGAGGTTTGCATCTCTGTAGGAAGTCCCCAAACTATCAATGCCATCCGGCTAATCTGAACATCCAATTGGAAAAAATCTACAAGGGCCACTTTCAGTGAATTTCCCGTCGAATCTGAACAAGTCGACTTATAAGCCAAAACAACGATCAACCTGTAAGGATTAGCTAGCCCCGACATGCGTTTCGTTTTGCCACAAGTTTGTCTCATTTCGCAGCTTCCGTTCACAAAAGCATCTGAGCTGAGCTCTTCGGAAGACGCACACGGAAACAAGCATGCAAGATTGCAAGAAAACTTCCACCAACTGATGAGTAGTATTAGTATCAAGAAACATTTAATAATTCGTGAGCAGTATTAGTTTTTTTTGGGGAATTCGCGAGCAGTAGTCGTCTTACGATCCTGGCGTTTCTGGCAAGTAACGAACGAACCTTTTTACACGGATGATTGGCCTGGCCTGGCCCAATCAATCAGGAACGCGACCGCTCTGTGGATCCGGCCGGACCGGACGGATGGGATTCCTTCTGGTAAAGCGAGCCCATCGGCGTGTGTCGGTCGTGTCAGCTTGTGGCTTTGCCGTTGTCGATGGGTGTTATCTTCTTCTTCTTTATTTTTTTCCCCCTTTCTTCTTTGAGCTTTGTCCAGCATCTTTAATCTTTAATCCTTCCTTCACAATTTTTTTCTATGCGACTGCGCCGCTGCACCAGTCAAATGGAATGGAGCATTGCAGAAAGGAGAACAACAACGACAGAGGCAAGGCGACAAGTGCAAAAGGAGGAGAATTATATTTTTTTCTGGACAGAGGGAGTACTTATGTGCCTTGTAAATAAAAGAAATGATTGGTACACTAGCGCTGTTCATTGCTTATAACTACTAATTAATCCAGCGCAGAAAGTAGTAGTACAGTGCTACAAAGAGATTGTTGATGCGCCCAATACTGGTGTTCCAGTAGGAGGGGAACAAGGCTGATCGTTATGAAATGCCTGGGTGGTTGGTTTAGAGGGGCCAAGGAACCTAACGTTCTCTGTTTTCTCATCACCGTCGGTCCTGCAGCCTGTGCTGTGCTGTAGAAGAGAGGACAGAAACACAAAGCGGTGGGCAAACTCCAATCGCACATTGACTTTTGGTAGTGCTGGATCTGTTTAACCTTTTTCTTCATTTGCTCCAATCTAGTTTTGGCTGCCCAGTAACATGGCTGAATTCTCATATTCAATTTTCGAACAAAGAAATACCAATGTTTCAAGTTGATAACTCTCAAAATTTCGTTAACTCCTGCCTGTCTCAGGAGCTATATATGTCCAAATGAATGCGATGCGATGCAATGCAATGGCCGAATCACAAAGTCGTGAGCCATGACTGTACCAACTAAGGAATTTTGTTCCATGAAAGTACCAGTCAGATGAAATGCGTTACGGTTAGTTGGAGGTGAGAGGAGAAGCAAGACAACACAAAGATCGGCAGCACTACAGAGAGCTACATAGAAAACCTTTCGCGCTGAAATGGTTAATCGTAGCCCGAAAATGACCTGGCAACCAACCTGCGCTTGAGACCGGCCGGAGGACGTTCAAGCTTCAAATTGACACGCCGCCTACTGCAGAGGTGCAGGCCGGGGAGAGGAGACGAATGGGCGAGGCACTGAGGCCGACGTGCCAACGCCTCCTCGCTCGGTTCTTCAGCGTGCCTTCCTCAGGCTAGACTCGGAACGTGTGGAGGGAAACAACCGTTTGTAGAGCTTCTTGAAGATGGTTGAGCTATCGCGATGATACCTTCGATCGTAACGTAATAACGGCAGTAATACTTGAAGAAGATAAAGATAACAAACGACCGGCGATTTGCGACTTGTAAATGGCGGTTGGAGATGATCGCGTACATGGCTCCACAGCCAGTGCGCGCGGCAGGAGGTGCTCCACAGGTCCACGTCACCAAATCAGTGGACTGTGGACCATCACCTAAAAAATGACTTTTTTAAGAAATAAAAATCTGAGGAACACGGACATCTTGTTATGATTAGCGTGGTTGATATGTCCGGGAAAAAAAACATGGACGAGAGTTCGTTCTATACGGAGACGCCAACTTTTAGCATATTTGCATAGGGATGGACTGAGAGACGATCGGTGGAACATCACTACCACCAGAATTTCTGTAGCTGTTGGGGGGGACTTGGGATTGCCCTAGCCGTACCTCAGCGAATAGACATGGTTCATCTTCTCTGAAAACCAGCTTGACAGATTGGTATTTTATTCGTCTCAAATAATAAATCATGCCCAACGAATTAAATTAAATGATATGTGCTGGCACATCCACATCCCTTCTTCATAGTATTTGTCCGGCCGGCAATTATCAAGCAGGTATTCAGACAGAGGACAGGCTTCAACTCAACTGATCGATGCTGTTGGAATAGGAGTAGTAGTTCCAGTCACATTAGACAAAATTCAATCGAAAGAGAGAGGAAATTATTAGAGGGGACTGTAGTGACATTCTGCTGTCCTTCAACCATGGTGACGATAACTTGCTGCATTCATGCAGGGCTCGCTCGCCGGAGGAAGCGATCGAACCAATCGCTTGCTTCCTTCAACCATGTTTGTTGTCATTCGGTGGCCGATTCCAGGCTCTGCAATGAAATGCGAGCAGCATACAGATAAAAATGTTAGTAACCCAAATAGTGGAACTGTGGAAGTTTATATTTCAGAGAATCAGAGAGAAACTCTAACTACAGCTCTGCCTGTTCAAACTCAAACTGAACAAATCAAGCTTAATGAATTCCGTTGAGCCTCAGTAATCACTGGATTACTGCTGCTTCTTGTATTTCGAACATTCTCTTCTTGCTTAATGAATTCCGTGCCAATGCACGTTCGAGAAAAAAAACTCAAACTGAACAAATCAAATATGCGTGTCAGTGAAAATGAAGCAAAATTACTTGAACACGTACACAAGATAAAAGGAAGAGTTGCTAGCTAGGGCAATATACTTCAGCACAAGAGGCACCACACTAATAAGCATCTTAATGCTTGGTATTTTTGGGTTGAACAAGATAAAGGAAGAGTTGCATTCATAAAATGTATGAAGATATAGTAATGCTTGATATTTTTTTGGTTGAACAAGCACTAGCGTCGCTCCTTGTAAAATGCTATAATAACTAGCAAGTTTTGGTACACGCAAATAGCGCGTAGCTAGGTAGTTTACCGTAGTATTTGGATTTTTTATTCGAATATTTTTTAAATAGTTTTGTTTATTTATTGGATCATAATTGTTTTCTTTCGATGCACATTTACTCTATCTATTGGCATCAAGCCGTCGACTTTAACTCTGACTTATAGCTATTGTCATCTTTCTTGTTTCTTTTTTTTCCCTGTTACTGTCTCGTAACTACCTAGTCTGGCCAAATCAAGTAGCATTTCGTCTTATCTTGGTGAGCTCTATTGGCGATAAAACCATTTTCCAAGTCTTTATTCAAATCCTAGCTCTCTTATAGATTTAAATTCAAGGTGATCTTGCATATTCTATTATGGATCTATAGTTTTTCCCAATAGTATCTTTTGATTCATCATAATGCTTTTTATGTCTTGGAGCCATCTGCTAGAAGCCCGACATCACCGTGTAGTTCCATGTAATCATGAGTCGGCTTAATAAACAATTTCTATAGTGAGTTGTCCTCTTAGTTGTCATGTAATAACTTACAAACCCTTAATTTGTGCATAGAAAAAAAATACATTGTGAGTTGCTGGCATAATCATAACTCAGACAATGGTGTGGGACTAAATTTTAACTCATTAGGTGGCTGTTTTGCGAATCAACGACCTATTTCTTTCAACTCACTCTCTCTCCATGTCATCAAAATTCCTACATGGCTTTGTATTAGACTACTATGAGACCGCTAACGTGTGGAAATATACTTGTCCTTAGCTAAATCGCAATGGGAGCATCTGTTCAGAGCTGGTTTCTCGTCATCCATGGTCTTGACTGATTTTGGGCATTGAATTGATGCTTGTCAGAATCTTGTTTTCATCAGTGTCTTTGGCCTCTGCAAGTGTTTGATATACTTGACGACTTCATCGAATAGTAATGAACGTAGAGAAGTTTAAAACAGATTAGTTCTCATTGTTTGATGCCCAATTTATGTTCTTTACTCGATATTGCTTGAAGATGCGGCTGAAATCCTATTTCTTGTGGCAGATGCTCGCCGGCCTTTAATGCCCCCACTTGATGTTCGGTACCT